TTGTTGTCTGCTACATAATGAGAACTGATTCATTTCTAAAGTCAGATGAAGTCCTTAATCTATGAGTAATGTGAAGTTAACAGTTGTCATAACAGCTTTCATTCATTGTGTACATGCCAGCTTTTCATAGAATGTATACAGTAACTTAGAATCTTAAGAGCACAGAAACAGACTGTTCAGTGCATTAAGTCAGGATGGGAGGGAAAGTTTATGAACATTTACTAATTGTGCAGGATGTAAAGGAAATGCTTTTAAGATGTGTTTTCATAAACAGGAGACCATTTTCTACACAAATTAGCATAATAATTACAATGTCAAAAATGCAAACACAAATTTATAAATGTAGACATGTACTAGTATTTTAAAGGCAATACGAAGACATGTATTTCCAACCAAAAGGATATTTGCGAGGTTGATTTATGCTCCTAATAAGTCACTGCTTGGACAACCTTCAATAAACATTACAAGATAAGTGCATAGAAATGACAAATGCAAATTACTGAACGCACCCAATACATCACCCTGGCATGAACCTATGAAAACAAAATTTCAACAGCGGTGCAACACTGTATCTGGAACCACTCCCTAGCCCGCTCAGACTATTGGAACTGACTCAAGATTCAGCAAAAAGTGAACGAGTTTAAGAAGATACATTAATAAAGAAATCAAAGAGGAGTTCAAAACACTCATTAGACAAACTCTGTCCCTTACTGGTTAATAAAATTCAGACAATAACTCTACTCAGAGCGCTTTACAGTAACGGATCCCAGGACCGAGCCAGGGGGAGCGGGAGGAAGGTGAACAAAGGCGCGGTCGAAGAAAGGTCTTCATCAGAGTCCTGAAAATGGGAAGGGAGGGAGCGAGACGAAGGGAGTGAGGAAGACAGTTCCAGAGCCTTGGGTCATAGTGGCTGAAGGCACGGCCGCTGAGGGTGGAGCGGAAGACTCAGGGGCGAGGAGGAGGCCAGACCCAGAGGAACGAAGGCAACGGGTACTGTTTTGAGGAGAGAGGAGGTCAGAGAGGTCGGGGGGTGCAGAGGAGTGCAGGGACTTGAATACAAGGGTGAGGATAATTAAATCAAGGGTAATTAAATTACCTTTGATAGTATTATGAGGCAGCCAAATGGAGTCAAGTGCATTAGCAGAGAAAACTAACATGCAACATTCAAAACTATCAGAAATTCAGGGTAACCTCAACTCTGTTGCCTCCAGAAAATACAAACCTCCCTCATAACCAAATATATTATTGGTTCTGAAAGTTTTCTTTGATTGAGAAGGAGTCACAAACAAATTTCCTTGCTCCTAAATTCAATAGTTTACAACAAATTACATTTGTATAGTCCCAAAGCGCTAGTCAATCAGGATCCAGACCCAAGTTGGTGGTTGGGATCAGGAGGACTTTAAACACAGGTGTAACAAGAGACGCATTGTTCTGGCAAGCTTTATGTACTGTATGGCTAAAGTGCAAGTCATCAGTTTATGACTCCTACAATGAGATTACTTTAATAAAATAATAATTACATTTGATAGAGCACCTTTCACATCACGAGAACATCTCACAAGATTGGTCTAGATGTAGAAGGCCCTTTGCCCCATCTGATCCAGAATACCCACCCACTTATATCCCATCACTGCTGACTAAGATTAAGCGAAAGGACCTCGGTTCGATTTGCAGGTGGAGCCAAACCATAGGCAAATTTGCTTACTCCAAATGCCTCTGTTTACCTAGCTATAAGTAGGAGCCTAGTTGTTAGTCGATTGGTGGATCTCTTTCAGGGGTAATGATCACTCCAAAAAAAAAAAGTTATACATACATACATATTATATATAAATAATGTGGTCACTCAATCTATGACGGTTTGTGTGACACTGCTATTAGTAATTGGCTGCCGCGTTTCGCCCGCAAAATAGTTAATTCACTTTACAATGGAGTCCTGTAGCTCAGTGGTTAGAGCACTCGCTTTGCAAGCGAGAGACCAGAGTTCAATTCCAGGCAGGGCGAAACCTTAGGCAAGTTTCCTTACTCCACACGCCTAATAATAATAATCCCTCCCAAAAAAATAATAAATTGGTTATTTTCAATCTATGACAGCTTGTGGGACATTGTTATGTGCAATTGGCTGCCGCGTTCGCCCACAAATATACAGTCAATTCACTTTACAGTATATTCTGTGAAGTGCTTTGGACGTCTAGAAGATGTGAAAAGTGCTATATCAAATGCAAGGATTATTATTATTACAATATATTTTGCGAAACACTTTGAGACAGCTCAATGACGTGATAAGCACTATATCAAATGCAAGGATTATTATATATTACCGCCTGACAATGATATATTGGTATCCCAACAACTGATTAAGCATTATAATCCCTCATCCTGTTCACCTTCATTTACCAGGCATTGGCTCATGTGTACACCCTATCAAGCTCTCTTTGTAGGACTTTTGCTTTATCCCCCGATTCAATAATATAAATTTAACTATCTTATCCTGAGACTGTGAATCCAGGTCATTAATATATCGAGGTAACAGGAAGGATCCCAGTACAGATCCCTGAGGCACCCCACTTAATATCTCCCCCATTTTGACCTCAAAGTGCTTCACAAGATTTACAATAAAGTGCAGTTACTGTGCATTTTGTAAGCGAATATGGCACATGCACAGCAATATCCCACATACAGTCATGAAATGAATGACCAATTTTAAAAAGCAGCTGTGCTTTCTAAATTCCGTAACCTATATTCTTAAGAGTCTTTTGTGTTTTTAACAGAATATTATTTTACTTTATTTAATTCAAATCATCAGACTGCTTCACGGTTCAGTAATGAAGTTTATATATTTTTAAACTGTGTTTACATTTTGTCCAAGTTTAATGTATTATGTTTGTTCAACATTTCTTAAGCTGTAATCAGATTCAGTGGAATGCACAAAATTAGAGAACGCAGGAAGTAGGGTAATTTTTAAAGCATGACCATGTCTATGCTTGTAATTATTGCTTCAGAAGTTTGTAGTTTTTAAATTGGTCCACAACGTAATTATATCAATCATGCAGCATATTGGGATTAGTTAAGAGGTTGGCTAAAGGTAATGAATAACTACAAAAACACATGACACAGGTTCAGAACCACCTACAATGTCCAGAAGCCAGAAGATTAACAATCTTGCTGTTCCCCTGTTCTGGATTCTATTGGCACCTTCCTCCATTTTCTTCAAGAACATTAAACTGTGATATTAAGAAGCAGAATTTACTGAATTTCTTTATTCCAAAGACTAACATAAAATGTTGTAAATTCAGTGAAAAACTGTTCACACCCAGCTATCAAATCTGAAACCGACTAATTCCACTTCTGCCAACTCTCACAAAATAGGTTTCTTTGGGCTGGAGAATCACAGCGTAAGGTTCCCTGAAGCAAAGTATCCAAGAATGCAATCTCTCTAGTATTTAAATACTCTATTCATATACTTAAATGTTATTCAAGATGTTGCTATTGTTTAAATGAATACTGTTCCATTACTGAATGCAAACCAGCAGGTTCAATATCGACATTTCTGACATTTGTTTAGCCCTTCAGTTTGGGCATATAATACTTAAACGTTCCACACCGCCATTTATTTAAATTGAATCTATTTATATAAGGAACCAGTCTTCAACAAATCTTCCTAAATAAACTGCCCCAGGCCTCTGTCAATGCTTTTCTTCTCTAATGCAAATATAGCAGATGCCTAAAGATTTCAGGTTTAGATAGAGGATGTCTCACTTAACAGTTTGTTTTAAGTATCAAATGATTAGAAACAAATTGAATATGGAAAGAAAATCTAGGAAAATACTTCTATTGTAAATTTGTTCTAGCTTGAAAAATCCTTGTCTGGCTTTAAAAATCTCCAGGACCTGCCAGCTCCTCAGTTAGTTCACTCCAGTGGTTACTGATCAAGAGGAACCATGTATGTCTTAACATTAACAGAAATAAATGCTTTGAATTGGCCTGGTATGGTCCTCGGAATCACTTGACAATAGGGAAGTGTACAACGGCACATTACTCTTAGTCCAATAGCATCTCCTTTCACTTTGGTTTGGATAACTTTAATAGCACAACCATTGCAGACAAGTACACTCAACTACGAAACATAGTGAACATAGGAACATAGGAATTAGGAGGAGTAGGCCATTCGGCCCCTCAAGACTGCCCCGCCATTCAATAAGATCATTGCTGATCTTCTAACCTAACTCCATCTGCCCGCCTTATCCCTATATCCTTCTATCCTTTAGAAGAGTTGACGACCAACTTCCTACTGGGCAATTTCAGAGTGGTACTGAGAGGAGTGGGGGCAGATCACACAGGTAGCACATGTCAGCGACTCAGAACTTTAATCTCCATTCTGAATCCTTTGAATTTCCTTTACATTCACAAGGTAGTATGGGGGGGGGAAGGGAATGAAAAAGGTTAGTATATATAATCCATTTCATATAAATAATAGCAGCCAGCTGCACAGCAGGTGCAGGATCCAGAATCCAAGGCACAAGGTCACAAGACCATTATGTAAGATTGCCCAGGGGTTATTTTAAGCCTCAACAAACTATACATCTGAGTCATGATTGAGGATGAGATATAAAAGATTCCTTCATCCTCATTTTTCAAACATAAAAATAAGAGTACATTTGAAAATAGTGCAGATACTTTTTAAAAATCTAGTTATGTGACTAAGTTTACTGATAAAGAGAAAATGATTGCAATACATGTGTATCAGTAAAAATAATCAGAAAATATTCTGTACAAACAGTACTGATTGATATGAATTTTCATTTTCCATAGGACTTAGGAACAACCGCAAGGACCATTGTTTGTGCTAGCAATAAATCTAATGAGTAGTGGCAGGGAACATTTGTATGAACTTGAAACAAATACTTCTGCTCTTCCAAAGTCTCAATTATTAAAAACGCATGCGAGAAAGTCACCAATTCTGAGTGTTTGTTTAAAACCACGACTGCGTTAAAATGCTTTACCTATGTGCAGGTGACTGATCTCGAATGCCTTCTAGAGTCCTGGTGTAGGAAGATGGAAACCACCCTCTCCTAAGAAAGAGGCACACTGAGATTAGACTTGGAACACCAATACACTGCAGATATCACTGACAATAATAAATGAAACAAGGGTAAATATTTCACAAATACAGTTTTTTAATAATACAAGTTGAATATTTTTCATCTGTAAGAATATAAGTCAGTCAGTGGCAGAAGCTAGATGAACCGTGCTTTCAGTTATTGCGAGTCCACATCTAAACCATGCTGAAATGGGGGGGGGGGGGGGTGGGGGGGGGGAGGGGTTGAGAAGAGGGGGAAACAGTTATAATGGGATTGTTCTGCATGTACTCTTAATTATAAACTATGAACACAGGACCTGAATTCCAAGTTATAAACATTTTCAGAAAAAAAAATTATGGCCCAATTTGAGATTTGGAATGCAGTGTTCCTTTAGAGCAATAACTTGTTAATTTTGGTTTGCATTTTTTTAAATATCATGCATTTCCAATAAGATCTAGGGTTTATTCTGCTACTAACAAGAATATCTTGGCAAGTTTGTTGAAATTACCTTGTGATTACTGTTAGTTTCTCAAAACAAAAATTTAGATTTGTAAGAACTTTTACTTATAAGCATTAATAAAAAGGGCCATTTATAGTCTGTACCTTGAAGCTAAAGATTACAATAATCCCTTTAGTATTACAACAATCATTGGATTCTTAAAACATCAACAAGAGATCAGGGCCTCTGGAATTCTTTAATCCTTAATGTAAAAGGAATTAACAAAAGATACGGTATTGTTGTTTGTAAATTGCAGGACCACAATCCTTTGGATTGGGGTTCAAATTAAGTCAGAAACCATGCCTAAAGTTTGGGTAGTTTAGGTTAGCAATCAGACCTCCAAAATTGGATAACTACCAGTAATTTACAGACAGATATCCAATATTATAAATGTCACAATTGGGTTTGAAGAAGGATGGCCCTTTAGACTATTTAATAATAATACTTGCATTTGGAATAACACTTGAACACATCGTTGAGACGTCTCAAAACGCTCCACAGAATATACTGTAAAGTGGAATAACTGAATATTTTGTAGGTGAAACGTAATCTCTGCCTTCCAAGATATCAACTTCTGCTCCTCCGTCCAATTCCATCAAGTTGTTGGTTAGCTATGCAATACAGCCTTGCAGTTCTCCACTGTACTATGTCTAGGGCCTGGGAGGCTAACAAATAATCAATTAATACCTCAGAGTCTCAACTTCTATTCTAACCATGGAGTGCATGCATCTCCAACTGACACTGAATGCTCCACAGAAAATACCTGATAGTTAATTCCACTACATTATCGTACCAAAAACGTGAAAAATATCTTAGAAGTCCTATTTGTGAAGTGCTTTTCACGTCGGGAGGACATCCCAAGATGCTGAACAGTTGGAGATCAGGACTCGAGCATGGGGGGGGGGGGGGGGGGGGGGGGCAGGGCTGGAATGAGGAATGGCAGGGTTGGGATGAGGGAGGGTAGGGGGATAGGAGAGAGGCTGAAAGCACGGTCGAAAAGGAGGGTCTTGAGTCGTTCATTGAAAGAGGCAAGAGAGGGAGCAAGGTGAAGGTATTGATTCTTAATTGGTGTATCGGAATTATGAACAGGATCACACCATTTTCACTTGGATGGTCAATCAAGAACTAGAGATAAAAGTATAAAATAATGAGCTTCAAGCAAGCAAGAAATATGCCCACAAAAGGATTAGCAAAACAGAGTCCCATTTGATATTAACTTGTTTTGAAAAAAAGAGCTGAGTAAATTCAGGAGTTAGATTGAAGATCATACAAAAAGACAGAATTAATAAAACTTTCAAGAAACGTTATGGTTCCTTGCTGCCGGACCATGGAAATACCATTTTTACAAAGCAATTTTGTGCCTCGCAACATTCAAATAGAAACTTTAGGAAGTTGCAAAGATGCCTTGAGCTCTGTCCCGGGTGAGTACGCCCTTGCACATTGGCATTTGCCAATTACTTAAAAGAAACTTTGGAGCCTTGCTGTACTATAATGACTCAAAATAATACTAACTTGCAAGCCGTCATCAAACCATTAAAGTTTAGGCTGAGGTTGGAAGAACCCATGTGCACATTTCAGAAAAATAGTGGCTCCATGTACCAGTGATGCCTCATTAACCAGATTAAAATATAACACAATTGTAAACAGTTTTTTTTAGATTAAGTTAAATGCCATTGTAAATGCACATTTGGAATATCTGAAGATTTCCACAAATTCTATTCTATTAATCAAGAAATGCTTTTCATATATGCATTTCCCCGGTTGTCCCTGCAAGCCATTTTCGTCTGGTGTTTACACAACTTCAATCACCTTTAGAAAGCATTATGTAAATATAAATAAATCATAGATTCCCAGATCATGTGAAATTCTAAAACTGAAGTTTACAAAAAGAATTCAGATATGTACAAAATTAGGCCCTTCCATTAATTTCAAGTATTCCTGTTTATGTCCAAATGTTTTGCATTGCATTTTTTAAATTTTGCTTGTAAGATGGTAATACAGACCTCAAAATTACCTGAAGTCATACCCAAATTCATACTCATAATACCACTGGCTTCTTTCATACTTTGTTTTAGCGCACATATCTGCAAATAAACTATTCAAGTCTCTATTGGGTGATAAAAGAAAGCATTGTGATAAGCATTGAGTAATTGCTAAATCTTTTTCTGAGTATCCTTCTCGGTGGGTCCAGTCTATCAACTTGGTGAGGGCAGGTACAGGACTTTAGAGTGAAATAGTTCCTGAATACAGCAGTTAAAAATCATTGATAGTTTAAGGCTACGTCACATTGCATAGCCTCAAAACTTTTTGTAGGGTTTTTAAGTTGACAATGATTATTCTGAAAATTCCACTGATTTTTAGTCGTATTAAGAAAGTTTTAAAAAACAGCATTCAAGTAGGTCAGTTTTACATCTCAGAAGTTAAGAATGTTATCTGTAAAACTAATGCAGTTCTAAAAACATATTTGCATTACAATCAAATTACTTTTATATTAACTCATGACAGTGCACTGTAAATGCTAATGAAGTGTATGCCGTTCTACTTAATAAAATCGTTAAGACAAATTTAATGTCAAGTAAAAACAGAGCGACTCACATTTTTGTAATGTCGTGCTCTCCATATAGCCAGCCATCTTTTTCCTCTGGTATAAGGAGGGTGAGAACATCACCTTCTGAAAAGCTCAGCATTGTCTTGTTATTTCCTGCATTGTGTGGGAAGATGGTTTTCACCTTTGGTCGTTGAACCATATTTAGTCCAGTTGCAACAGAAGTAGATCTCTGTAAATGGCTATCCTCTGTGTAAAGATAAAACAAATAATTAACTTTGTAAACCATTTCATAAAATTCTACATTTTATCTGCCTGCATGTAGATAGATCTACAAGTACATCATATGAATGTAGGAATGAGAAAAAAATGATATTTAATTTTTAATAATAATCCTTGCATTTGATATAGTGCTTTTCACGTCTTCTGGACGTCTCAAAGCACTTCACAGAATATACTGTAAAGTGAATTGACTATATACTTGTGAGCAAAACGCAGCAGGCAATTGTGTACAGCAGTGTCCCACAAACAGTTGTGGATCGACGCGACCAATTTTATTATTGTTTTTTTTCTTGAGAATTATCAGGCATATGGAGTAAGGAAACTTGTCCAAGGTTTCGCCCTGCCAGGAATCGAACCCAGATCTCTCGCATGCGAGGCGAGTGCTCTAACCACTGAGCTACCGGACTCCAGTTTATCTAACTTCCTCTCAAGAATCCCACTCTTGTTGCACAATAGTTTTCATGACTGAAACCTCCATTCTCTGTTCAGTCAGGGATTCATAAAATTTCCTTTTGAATATCTCAAAAGTGAATAAATTGCAGCACTAGGTACATAATTAAATGACCACACACTAAGAAATTTAACATGTTGCTTCTGCAGCTTATAATGATGTTTTCTAAGTTTTCTATCCTGGTTTTCCAAAGGGAGTTTCTCAGTGAGTGATTATTGGAGAGCAAACAATTGCTAGTTTAAGAAATAATTTTAGTTGTAAAAACACAGTCCAAATGATCACAGTTAAATCTAAAGACTCAAGAAGTGTAGTAGTTATGGTGGTAATTTGTACCTTTGTATATTCATAACTAGCTGTACCCGTTGCAGCTTTGCTTGCAACCAAAGGATCCAATAAGGAATGTAGATTGACACACAGACAGACATTTTGTCTTTATCTATACTCAGCTGGGAGGACTCCCGTGGGAGGACTCCTTTCCAATATCTCTCTGCCTCCCTCTCTCTCAGTTTCTGTCTCTCTCTCAGTTTCTGTCTCCGTCTCGCTCTCTCTGTTTCAATCTCGCTCTCTCTGTTTCAATCTCGCTCTCTCTGTTTCAATCTCGCTCTCTCTGTTTCAATCTCGCTCTCTCTGTTTCAATCTCGCTCTCTCTGTTTCAATCTCGCTCTCTCTGTTTCAATCTCGCTCTCTCTGTTTCAATCTCGCTCTCTCTGTTTCAATCTCGCTCTCTCTGTTTCAATCTCGCTCTCTCTGTTTCAATCTCGCTCTCTCTGTTTCAATCTCGCTCTCTCTGTTTCAATCTCGCTCTCTCTGTTTCAATCTCGCTCTCTCTGTTTCAATCTCGCTCTCTCTGTTTCAATCTCGCTCTCTCTCTCAGTTTCTGTCTCCCACCTACAAAACACAGTCACTACACTTTGTAATATATTCTCTCTCCCAGTCTCTCTTATTCAGTCTTTCTCTCTCTATTCACACATGGGAGGACTCTAGCTCCCATGACAACCAGAAAAAAGTGCCTTACATTTGTTCCAGAAAGATGCATCTCTCTGAAAGGTGTGTGCTTTCGTCTGTCGTTATGTAGTTGCAGAATACGATGCACAGCTCATATTCTGGGGCTTAATTAAAGCATTTTCTAGTATAGCTTATCAAGGATAGGAGATCCCCCAAAAATATGCCCACGCACTGCCAGTTGCAAGACCTTTCTGATGAGGTATAAATTATGTCTCTATGTCAATCAGTTATTGCGCGAGTGTCAGATATACTGACACACAGGCAGACACTTCGTCTTTATTAGTATAGAAGATTGAAGAAACTTTTGAATATTTTAAATAGAATTGATTGATCAAGTCTCTGTGTTTGCCACTGGTTACAACACAGCTGGGTATCAGGCAAATGCATTTGGAATATATAGAATTCTTACATTTAGTGCACGTTTGTTCAATTAATTTTCTTACCTGGTGCATCAAGGGTTTTCTCCATATTGCTTATGTAATGAGTTGATGGGTTGAACATATCTGCTAGGGGACTTATCTGAACTCTTCCTGGAGGAGCTGGTGGTATTTTCAAAGTATTCTGTGCTGAAGAATCATATCCCTAAGAAAACATTATATCAGTGTTATTAATTTGCTTATATATTCAATAGTGAAATCTGGGTAGTGCAATCTTATAACAACTGCTACTTAAACATGGGCTAATATTTGTCTTGGTAGACACCGGGATCAGTTCAATTATCAGATTATTGGGCACATTTGTACCACATAAAGCAAGGTTTGTATGTTCTTCCTTTCACTCTGCTTTTGAAATTGAGCAGCAATCACTGAAGCACAGAAAAGGGGAGTGGATCAGCAGAATTAACAACCAGTTATTTTATTTTTACATTTTGACAACAATGATAGAGACTCACTTAGCCTAAGGTGTCCTGATCACCACTGTTTTAAAAAGTGCTACATCCTTTTTATGTATGAGGATAAACTGCCTCTTCATTTGCAAACATTTATTTTGGCCTTCCTCACATCAGGCAGAGGGCGAAACCTTGGGCAAGTTTCCTTACTCCACACAGAGCCTAATAATAATCCCTCCAAAACAAAAAACAATAATAAATTGGTCATTTTCAAACTACGACTGTTTGTGGGACATTGCTGTGCGCAATTGGCTGCCGCGTTCGCCCACAAATATACAGTCAATTCACTTTACAGTGTGTTCTGTGAAGCGCTTTGGGACGTCCTCCCGACGTGAAAAGCGCTATATCAAATGCAAGGATTATTATTATTATTATCAAATTCAGCTGGTTAGTTGTTCAAGTTTTTCAAATGGCAGAAAAATAGCACCATGTAAGCTTACCTATAGGGGATTCTTTGTTATAGCAAACTATGGTAGAGTGCTGATCTACTAACCCATTGTAATCAGAAGCGCAATACACACAACTTCCTGTGCTAAAAAATGGACACCTTCCAGATGGAGAGATCGCCAGACTTCACTTTCGACGTATGGAGCATGCATGCTATGCCAACGTCACTTTGTGAAAGAAGTGAAGTCAGTGGCAAATTAATGACCCAGAAGTCAGCAACTTTATCTCAACATGAAGGTGGCTTGCATTATCAGGGGTGCTATCTTTCAGATTAGAATGTCAAACTGAGGCCCCATCTGTCTTTTCAAAATTCTTCTCTTTTTGATACATGAATGTAAAGATCCAAAGAGAAGAGTTTGTCCCAGTGTCTTATCCAACAATCCCCCAGATAAAATGTTTGAGCATTGCTGTGCATAAACTGACTGCTGCATTTGTCTACAAAGATAGAGCCACTACACTTTACAGTAAAATCCTGTGAAGTGCTTCAAAATGTCCGCCCAATATGAAAGGTGCTATATCAATTGCAAGGATTATTTATTATAACTTATCATGAACCTTGAATTGAGACTGCATCCTTCTGTTTTGCACAAGTCAAGTCACCGTTGTTGAGTGTCCATGTCAGGTCATTGCCTTTTACTTACCATGAGGAAAGCCCTCCACTGACTGCTCTATTTGCATAGAGTTCTGGATTACAAGCTTGAAATTCCTGACAAGAGCAAATCTTTAAATCACACTGCCTTCTAACATTCCTTCCCTGCTGCACAGATTGAAAGAAGCACTGTCCTTTCAACTCTGGGGTATGCTTTTCAGTTCAGACTGATGGGAAAGCTATTTCCTTTCGTTCATAAAAATAAAGGCCATCTCAAACCCAATTTACAAAATTGGCAAACTTCCTCAGTCAGGATATAAAGGTGACTGTTGTGAGTAGTATAGTGCAATAAGAGGTACTATTTTAGTAGAGAACTTTATTCTGCATCTGGCCTGGGACATGCCTGATTTGTCATTCCCAATATCAACATTGGCCTCCAATATCAACATTGGCTGCCAAAAGGAGAAATATCTTTTACCTCCTCCAATACTCTATTGGAACACTGGGATGATCACAAAACGAGCAATTGATAAACAATGCGAATCCTATTTCCTGTACATTGTAAATTAATGAGGAATGCTTTGGTCACGATAGCAACTGTACCACAGAAAAACACAAAATACTGAGATCATGATCACAGAAGAATATCCACGTTGTCAGAATTCTAGAAGAATGCTATCAAAGCTGCGCTCCATGGCTGGTTGAAAATAAGGATCACTGTGGTCAGGTAAAACACTCCAAACATCAATAAAGCTGTATTTTCAATAACACTTATTCACCGAGTCCCAGAAACATTATGGTCAAGCAAATAATTATTTCCCAAAGATCATTTTGAGCTGAATATTCCTGGCTACAATGTATTCAGGAGGAATAGGGAAGGAAAAAAAGGAGAGGGTGTGGCAATGTTAGTCAAAGATACGGTTATAGCCGTGGAAAGGGTCGAGGTGCTGGAGGGCCCCAAAATGGAATCTATCTGGTTAGAGTTAAGGAACAAAAAAGGAGCTGTTACGCTGGTAGGGGTATACTAAAGACCACCAAATAGTGGGAAGGAAATAGATGAGCAGATCTGCAAGCAGGTCTTAGACAGATGCAAGGCCAATAGAGTCGTGATAATGGGGGACTTTAATTATCCCAACATAGACTGGCAAAACAACAGCGCAAAGGGCAAGGAGGGGGAAATATTCCTAAAATGCATACAGGACAACTTTCTTGATCAGTACGTTTCCAGCCCAACAAGAAAGGAAGCAGTGCTAGATCTAGTTCTGGGGAATGAATCTTCACTTCGAAGAATATGGGTTTATTAGGAACAGCCAACACGGATTTGTTAAAGGCAGATCTTGTCTAACAAATCTAATAGAATTTTTCGATGAGGTAATGGAGAGGGTGGATGAAGGTAGTGCAGTTGATGTAGTTTATATGGACTTTCAAAAGGCATTTGACAAAGTTCCACATGAAAGACTTGTAAGAAAGATAGAAGCCCATGGTATAAAAGGGACAGTGTCAGCATGGATCCAGAACTGGCTGGGAGACAGAAAGCAGAGAGTTGTGGTGGATGGCTGCTTTTCTGACTGGAGGGAAATGTACAGTGGTGTCCCCCAGGGATCGGTATTAGGACCACTGCTCTTAACCAGATCCATAAATGATCTGGACTTGGGTATAGCAAGTAGCATTTCCAAGTTTGGGGACGACACAAAGTTAGGTAGAGTAGTAAACAGTGAGAAGGATAGGAGCCAACTGCAGGAAGACATAGACAGAATGGGCAGACACATGGCAGATGAGTTTCAATGTGGAGAAATGTGAGGTAATGCATTTTGGTAGAAAGAATGAGGGGAGGCAATTAATACAACAACAACAAGATTCCATTTATAGAGCGCCTTTCAGGTCGGGAGGACGTCCCAAGGCGCTGTACAGTTGGGTCAGGACCCGAGCAGGGGGAAATGGTCAGGGTGAGGGGAGGGAAGGGAGGGATCGAGGAGGGGGTAGAGAGTTGAGAGGGGAGCTGAAGGCACGGTCAAAGAGAAAGGTCTTGAGACCGGCCTTGAAGGAGGAAAGGGAGGAAGCGAAGGCACTGGGGGATAGAGTTCCAGAGCCTGGGGGCTGAGAGGCTGAAGGCCCGGGCACCGATGGTAGGGCGGTTGGGGCGGAGGATGTGGAGCAGACCGGAGCCAGAGGAACGGAGGGTACGGGCAGGTAGGTAGGGGGATAGTAGGTCGGAGAGGTAGGAGGGAGCAAGGCCGTGAATGGCCTTGTAGGTGAGGATGAGGATCTTGAATTCGATCCTCTGGGGGATGGGGAGCCAGTGGAGGCGAGCGAGGGTGGGAGTGATGTGGTCGCGAAGCCTGGTGCGGGACAGTACACGAGCTGCAGAGTTCTGAATGACCTGCAGCTTGTGGAGGGAGGTGCCGGGAAGGCCGGCGAGGAGAGAGTTCCCATAGTCCAGCCTTGAGGTGATAAAGGTGTGGACCAGAGTTTCAGCAGCGTGAGGGGTGAGGTGTGCCGTAGTCTGGCGATATTCCGGAGGTGATGGAAGGCAGTGCCAGTTGTGGCGCGGATATGAGGGAGAAAGGACAGCTCAGGGTCGAACAGAACCCCGAGGTTCCTGACTGGCTTTGAGAGGTGGAGAGTGCAGCCTTGGATGCTGATGCTGTCAGCGCCTGAGGTGCGGAGGCGCTGACGTGAGCCAATCAGGAGGGCCTCAGTTTTACGCACGTTGAGCTGAAGAAAGTTGTCTCTCGTCCAGGACTCGATGTCGGACAGGCAGCTGTCAGGACATCGGTGGTCGTGGAGTTGAGGGTAGAGGAGGAAAGGTAGAGTTGGGTGTCATCCGCATACATGTGGAAGTTAACCCCATGTCTGCGGATGATGTCACCAAGGGGGAGCATATAGAGGGTGAAGAGGAGGGGACCGAGGACAGAGCCCTGAGGGACACCGCACGAGACAGTGCGGGGGCTGGAGGAAAAGCCATTCGTGGAAACAAAGTGAAGACGGTGGGAGAGGTACGACCTAAACCACTCAAGGACAGGGCCTCGAAGGTTGAGGTGGGAGGACAAGCGGTGGAGGAGGATAGCATGGTTGACCGTATCGAATGCTGCCAATGGGTCGAGGAGGACGAGGAGGCAGAGGGAGCCCTGGTCACAGATGGTCAGGATGTCATTGGTGACCTTGACCAGGGCAGTTTCTGTGCTATGGAGAGCACGGAAACCCGACTGAAGGGGTTCGAATAATGAATGGGTGGAGAGGAAAGAGCGCACCTGGGAGGCGACAACTCGTTCCAGGACCTTGGACAGGAAGGGGAGGTTGGAGATGGGCCGGTAGCTTGATAGCTGCGACGCATCAAGGGAGGGTTTTTTCAAGGTGGGAGTGATGGTGGCAGTTTTTAAGGGAATGAGAACAGAGCCAGAGGAAAGGGACAGGTTGACGATGTCTGTGATATGTGGGGCAAGGAGGTGGAGCCGGGAGATAAGGAGTGGAGTGGGGATGGGGTCAAGGGAGCAGGTGGTGGGTTTCAGGGATAGGATGAGTTTGGTGACAGAGGGTGGGGAAACGGGTACGAAAGTGTGTAGGGGAGGATGGGTAGGAGTAGGAGTGTGGGAGGGAGGGAGTGGGGGGTGGGTGGATGTTGGAGGGGAAGTGACCGCGGAGTGAATTCCCTTGATTTTGGATTCAAGGAAATCCAGCATCTCCTCGCAGTGAAGCTTGGAGGAGAACAGAGAGACCTGCGGATCCTTAACGGTGGCAGGACAGGCAGATAAAGCTGTAAAAAGGACATGTGGGATACTAGGCTTTATAAATAGGGGCATAGAGTACAAGAGTCAGGAAGTAATGATTAATCTACTGGTTAGGCCTCAGTTAGAATACTGCGTCCAGTTCTGGACACCACACTATAGGAAGGATGTTAAGGCATTGGAAAGGGTGCAGAGGAGATTTACGAGGATGGTACCAGGAATGAGGGACTTTAATTATGAGGAAAGGCAAGAGAGGCTGGGATTATTCTCATTGGAGCAGAGAAGATTACGAGGAGACCTAATAGAGGTCTTCAAAATCATGAGGGGATTTGATAGGTTAGAAAGGGAAAAACTGTTTCCACTGGTGGGTGTGTCGGTGACTCGAGATCACAGATTCAAAATAGTATCTAAAAGCAGAGGGGAGGAGAGAAGAATTTTTTTCACGCAGCAAGTTGTTCGAATCTGGAACGCATTGCCCGAAAGGGTAGTCGAGGCCGATTTGATAACTACTTTTAAAAACGCGGTGGACAGGTATTTGAGGAGGACAGGTTTGCAGGATTATGGGGAAAGGGTTGGGGAGTGGGATTGACATTAATTGTTTTATTCAAAGAACCGGCACGAACTCGATGGGACGAATGGCCTCTTTTTGTGCTGTACGATTCTATGATTTTCCAAATCATTCATTCTATGCTGAGTCCCTTACCATTTGGTATCTTTCCACTGACGGAGAAGGCTGAGGAGTTCTTAATACGTAAGAGGCAGTGCTATAGGTATCGTCCATCAAAAACTCTGGCGTCTTGGTAGAGTCCAAGCATTTTTCTTGCCAGCTCACCAGTTTGGCACTAAGTAGTCCTTTGGCCTGCAGAAATAGAGATTAGCGCAAGTAAAATGTTATATTAAAAATGATTGAACCAATCATTTGAATAACCAGTCTATAGTCACATGGCAAATAAATCAACAACTTCAGGCTTTCTATTTCCAGCTATATATTCTTGAGGATATAAATTAAGGACATCAGTTAATATTACAAAATAAGTAATTGACTAGCACTGCAAAATGATAACCTTGACATCTGATCCTAATGGTAATTACCCCAACTGCTCAAATTTCAATCATCACCTCAGTTTTTTCTGCTTGGAAAACCCTAGTAGTAAAAAAGGCAATAAAGCTTTGCATAACTTCACTGTTTTTTGTAGAGACTGTAAACACCGCTAGTAAAACTTGAATGCCAAACCGGAAAATATCTGGATCTCCCTGCAATTTTTGGCAAACATTTTGGCACTTTTCTATTGGTCTAGCTGATGAGTAATCCTGTTGAAGGATACAGATGACGCTTTAAATCACAAGAGCCATGATGTACCCACAGACAAAAGCTAGGGTAAGATACCATACTTTGAACCACATATGAACGCAACTACTTGTTCACAAAAAAAATTGTAGTGGGTGCACAGGTTTGCACTGGAGGATTGGGAATGAGATTTTTTTGGATTAGGAAGCAGAAAATAAACCAAAATAATCAGGAGAAAGATTCATTTAAAACTGTAACGGTAGCAAGGTTGAACTCCACCTGAATCATAAGGCAGATGGAAACTGAAATTAATTTAAATTTGCGCTTGTCCTAAACACTAATAAGTAGCTGATGCCAGATCTTGGAAAAGGGCAAGATTGAAATTGAAAAGGGTGGCCTAGCAAAAGCACCAAGAATAGCAGACATCTAAATGTTTGCACTTGATAATTGCTTCCAAGAGGGCTTGAAATTGGAAATCTGATAGTACTAAATGGTGATATTTTAGCTCACTCCCACCCAACTTATGGAAACAATTTTCAATTTCATAGAGTATTGCCATTTTATAAATAAAACGACTTCTAAAAATCTTTTTGAAACATTCTGTACTTTCATTAATTAAATCATCCAGAACTCTGCAGCCCATGTCCTGTCCCGCACCAGGCTCTGGTCACCTTCAAAGCCCTCCATGGCCTTGCTTCTCCCTACCTCTGCGACCTTCTAACCCCCTACCAATCTGCCTGCTCCCTCCACTTCACGTCCGCTGCATCGCCCACTCTACCACTGGCAGGTGGGCTTTCTGCCACTCTGCCCCAACCCTCTGGAACTCCATCCTGCAGTTCCTCTACCTCGACCCCTCCTTTGCCTCCTTCAAGACCCGACTCAAGACCCTCCTTCCCCCTGCCCTTCACACTTCCCGATCCCCAGCTCGGGTCTGAAACACTGATTGTTCAGTGCTTTGGAACGTCCTTCCGATGTGAAAGGCGCTATACAAATGTAATTTTGTTGTTGTTGCACTCAAGCTAGTTTAATTATTCGGTTATACAGACCTTATCATGATAATTGCATATGTCTTGGGAAAAGTTGCAGTGTTTTTCTACCAGGAAACAGAACCGTCTCTTTTCTTCAAGTAAAGCCTCTTTGCAGCCGTCATTAATAAATTTCTGAATGTCATGTTCTCTTGAGCTGATGTTTGCTATGAACTGAAATGAAAGAAAAACTAAATACAATATTGTCCATTTTAAAACCCAAATATTTCCAAGGGATAGGATTAATATATTGAACATTCAATATTCATTAATTTCATTTTGTTCTTAGGCAGTTTTCTACACAGATTGTTTGGGTAAAAAAAGTTTCACTTTCAAATGCATTTCTTAAATGGTATTCCTTGAAAGCTTTTATAAAAACAGTCTGCATGTTATCAAAATAAAGCTCACAAATTAATCAAATTAATAGAATATAAAATTAAAATCGCAGAATGTAATCAGCAATTTAAAAATACCGTTAAAAGAAATGACAAACAAGGGTAAAGGCAGGAATTGGGCAGAGTTCTATTTAAGACCGGCCTTGAAGGAGCAAGGGAGGAAGCGAGGCGAAAGGACTGTGGGATGGAGTTCCAGAGTGTGGGGGCAGAGAGGCTGAAAGCCCAGCCACCGATGGTAGGGCGGGTCGGGCGGAGACATGGAGCAGACCAGAGCCCGCTGAACGGAGAGAGCGGGCAGGTTGGTAAGGAGTCAACAGGTCAGAGAGGTAGGAGGGGGCAAGGCCATGGATGGCCTTGAAAGTGAGGACGAGGATCTTGAATTCGATCCTCTGGGGGATGGGGAGCCAGTGGAGTCGGGTGAGGGTGGGGAGGATTGGGTCGTGGAGCCTGGTGCGTGAGAGTACACGAGCTGCAGAGTTTTGGATGATCTGCAGCTTGTGAAGGGAAGAGTTAGGAAGGTCGATGAGGAGGGAGTTCCCGTAGTCGAGACTTGATGAAGAAGCAGCAAAGAAAGTCTAAAAGATTAAAGTTCACATTAAAAAGATGAAGCAATGAAGCACAAGTTTGCGCAAATAAAACAAGGTGCTCAAGGTCACTGAAACTGAAATAGAAACAGTCCCAGACTCTCTGTTAACTTAGTATGAACCTGTAGTGATTTTAATCCATGGGAACTAAATTATATTTGTATTTTTAAACTTAGGATTTGTGGAAAGAAACCGAAGGACAATTAAGATAAAGCTCTTCCCTGTTACAAAAATACTATGTCTTTTTAGTATGCATGTTACACCCAGAAGAGAATATAGACAGATAATTGTCTATGCAAATCAGAAGGTTAACTTTTTTTTAAAAAACATGTTTCTCCAAAGGAGACTTCAGACAGACATTTCTGTATACCCTTCACCTGTTGAGGGTGTAACATGGAGTTAGCAAATATGTGGATGCCACTTTGCCTCTTCCAGTACCAACTCCAGGTTCCCTGTTCTATCAACTTGTCCAGCAGACATCAAGGCCTGGATGAGTATAAACTTCCTGCAGCTGAGTATGGACAAGATGGAAGCCATACTCCTTGGCTCCCGTCAACGTCTTCACTTCTGCGGATCTAAACTCCTCAACTTCCCTGGACTCTCCCTCAAACGGAACCAGTAGGCAACCTAGGCGTCTGGTTCGACCCCCAGCTGTCCTTCCTCCTCCACATCTGGTACCTCCGCGACATTTGCCCACATCTCACCAGTTCTGGCTAGGCTCCACTGGCTCCCCATCACCGAACGGATCGATCTACCACCTGCCGTCTCCCCTCGACTGGCACCAGTCTCCTGCTCGTCACTCACACCCTCTGCCCCACCATCGGAGGTCGTGCTTTCAGCAACGACACCCCAAAACTCTGAAACACTCTACCTAAATCCCTCTGCCTTGCTCCCTTTCTCCCCTCTTTCAAGACCCGCCTGAAAATTTTCCGCTTCGACCGTGCTTACGACCACCTCCCCTATCCCCCCCCGGCTTGGAGTCAGGCTCCACCACTGTTAATCTCTCTGAGACGCTATCCTGCGTGGAGGGCACTATGTAAGTGCAAATTATTGTTGCACATAGTTGTCATGAGCACTGTTGAGCCTTATTTAATAATGACTACCCAAATATGTGATATGATAAGCAGTCATCACAAAGGTGATTCTTTCTTTCTTCGTGGGCAACCAGGTGGGTTATTTTCCACCCATTATTAAATCATTGAGTGGAGAAATTACCCTCCTTGGTGTTTTTCACAGAGGGGGGAATCAAACTCTTTAAAAAAAGACGATTTATAAAGCGTAAATTGGAAGAAAATTTTGATTTAGTTTCCTTTTTAATAATCTATGGGGATTTTATGGCCCTGCATTTATCCAATTAAGGAGCAAAAGTGTGGAACAAACATAACAGGAAAACACTGATACAGCTAATTAAAGAGATGCTGAGAATGTCCACAATTCACCTTGGATTGGTTGTTTTCCAGACAAATTGCAACTTTCTCTCTGTCGTCTGCCAAGTTTCCGCTATGCTTTGGCAGACGTTGAAATCAAACTTTCAAAAGATTAAAATGAGAAAGCTAACTTTTTAAAGTTGTAAATAGTGATGGAATTTAGCAGGTAACTGGCATGCACTGCTGTAATTATAATAAACAGAGCATTGTTCTTGAATACCCAATAGATGCAGATGGTATGTCTACTTTTACATGACTTGCTAGTTTACTACAGTACTTGTGGAGCAAGTGAGTCAAGCAAGTGAAAAAAATACTTGCAGGCCTCAGAAAGGCAATATGACTGAATTTGGCTATGTTCCATTTACATACAGTGTACTGCAAAAACCAATTGGTGTCACCTACCAGGGGACTGACACCTTCTTTCTTCCTCCCCCACCCCCATACTGAAATTTAATTGGAGTTCAAAATGCATTTTTTTCTCACAAAATTTTCACTCCTCCCCTGAAAGTTTGACTCTATTATACTTCTGCTCCACTTTTAATGAACAGCGAGGCAAAAAATATGCATGGTTTCCACAGGCAAACATCATTCAAACCGGGGAACAGCTTTGGTTTAAAATTCTAATAGAGCCATTTTGTTTTTCTCAACACATTCCTGGAATCCTAAAGGTTACACCCAAGTGCCATTTCAAATTTTAAGTTTTTAACTCTTGTTAAGGCATTGCTGACATGAAATTCTATTTCTATTTAATCAGAGTTAAGATTGAGTAGAACTGTGAAAAATATTCAATGCAGTCTTTCTGGAAACTATTTCTTTAAGAACTGTGGAAACACTAGCTTCCAAATCTATCCTTCCATTTGTACTGAAACAATGCTCAGTTGGTAGCACTCCTGTGTTTATGTGTGAACCTCAACAAAAAGTGTTGACAGTCTATGTGGGCCTTCATATTGGAGCTCAAATTCTATTCTCATTTGCTCTATATCATATTTTGATCGTGACACTCTCCCTCACTTATCAATATAACCACAATCTTCTGAACATTACTCTATTCTTGCTTCCAAGCATAAATTGTTCTGTGTTATTCCTCCAAACATCCCATTTATCTTTTCACATGCATTTCACCTGTTAAAGCGCTGCATCACCTAGCTATTGATACTTACCTTATTGCTTTGCTATTCATTTCAAACTTGAGATGCACTGTAATATGTTCCCAAGTTCTGAATAGAGTACTCTCTCAATGAACAGAAAATACAGAAAATAGATTTTTTTCCATTAAGTGACTCTTTATATAGAAAAAATACCTACCTCCTGTTCTTTGTATTCATATTTATGTGCATTTTTTGTCCCTTGACTTTTTCGTCTTAGTTTCTTTAGCTCTGCTTGAGACTTTTCAAGAGAGTCCTGCTTACTTCTATGTTCTGTTTGGTATTTCTTAAGTGTTGCCTGCAAACAAAAATGACAAAACAACAAATTTGAGATTCATAGTATTTAACAGTTTCATTTCACATATAAAGCATGCTCGTCACAATCAATGCACACACGGATGCATGTGAAGCTTCCAAAGATGGGCAACCATTATTGGAAAGTACAGGTGACCGTAATCAATACCCCACACAGGAACATCTCCTTCTTAGTTGATGGCTTTGAGGAAATTTACAGAGGTGACCAGAGGGAACATTAATCTACTGCCTACAGGAATTAATATGTTACAGATTTCCATAGTGCTTTCAAGAAGGCCCTTCAGTTGGTTAAAAATGCTCAGCCAGAGTCCAGCTCAGTCTACAGAAAGCATAGCACTATAGAGCCATACCTTCCTCCCACATGATATAAATAGAACAGACATGGCAGATAGCAATCAGTGCTGCATGCATTGTACAGGTTTAGAATGAAATTCTGAATGGTTTCTGCCTGATATCTTTCTATGGAACAAAAAGTACAGCTATCTTTTGGTAAACTATTTTGAAAATCTATTACTGTCCTTTCTGTTCCCTGTTAGCTATTTATTCCAAAGATCTTTCAGTTGCAGGTTTTTGAAATGTTTAATTAATGTCATGTTAAATCAGTCCTGCAAATCCTATTTCACTAGTTTTAATAATAATACTTGCATTTGATATACACCTTATCATGTCTTCGAGACGTCTCAAAACGCTTCACAGGATACAGTGTAAAGTGAATTAACCATATATTTTGTAAGCGAAATGTGGCAGCCAACTGCGCATAGCACTGTCTAACACACAGTCGTGGATAGACTAACTGTATTAACCAGATTGTTATTTTGTGGGGGGGGGGGGGAATTATTACCTCAAGGAAAACGATTCGCCGATCGACTAACTTCCTACTTGCTGCTAGGTAAACAGAGGCTTGTGTGTGTGTGTGTGAAGCAAGGAAACTTACCCACCGTTTTACCCTTCTCAGTCCCATTAGTGTGTGTGCTCACTTTCATTGCTGTGCTTGTGCCCATTGGCATTTGTGTTTTATGAGTAAAATTGCCATCGATCATTTGGAGGCAGTCAACAGGCAGGCCAATATTTGCGAGTTAGATGGGATTGTAAGGCAAAAATATATTTAGCCTTTATAGTGCACAAGACCAAACATTTTGCGTATACTTGAAAACATTGAAAAGTTTAGCCCTGAGGTGGGATTTGTTTAATCCTAAAGTAAATCTGCTTGCAACCAATTGTTACAATATAAAATACTTACATTCATGTATTTCACATCCAGTTCTGTTTTTCGATCCAATTCAGCTATGATCTCTCTATGGAACTTCTTAAACTTGAAGAAAAATAAAAAAAAGGATTTTAGTCAGATGGGTCTGATTAACAGGGGTCTAAAAAGTGGCAATTTCAATCAGGATTTCTTGAATTTTACTTAAAACGCAGAAAGTATGAACTTTCACAAACAATAACATGTAAAAACAAATAAGCATAAATGTTGTGAATACATACACTTTCTTCCAAATCTAGGTTGAGCTTCTTGTGCACTTCTGAAATATCTGTTAAGATGTGTCCTGTGTTGGGAGGAAGTTGGAAGGGGAAAGAGAAGAAAGTTACTACTGTATTGCAGACAAAATTTTACACTTATTGCCTTTGGCCAGCTGCCAGGAATATGGAGTTGCTGCCTATTCTTAGGTAGCACCTCTAGTCTTTTCTTCCTGTTCTTTCCCTCTACTCACCAAATGGAACAACAATTTAAAAAATCCTTAAATTTGATATTATGTCAGGAGGAAATCACAAAGTACAACAGAATATCCTGTAAAGTGTAGTAACTGTATTTTGTAGGCAAACATGGGAACCAATTTGTGCAGAGCATTGTCCCACAAAAAGCACAAAGTTTCAATTTAATCTGGGCGATTGTAGATCAGAGGATAGTCTCTTCACTTAGAATAGTGGCATTTGATATTTAATATTCACCTGAAGAGGCAGATGGGACCTTTTATGTCGCATCAAAAGGATGTCACTTTCAACTGCTAGAGCTGAATTGGAATTGTCACTTCCAACTGCTAGCGCTGAACATTTTTAAATGTTTATTTACAAGTAGTTTGGTTTCACACTTTGGTGATGGTAATAAACATTAATAAAAAAGCCTTCCACCAGACTACAATATTATGTAATTTATTGACATGGTTTTCAAACAGGATGTTACAGCTTTAAAGGGCACCTCCCTACTTGCTTAGCAACAAGCAAAATTGTTTGGTAAACATCTGTCCAATGCAAATTTTACAACTGAGCTTCCAAATATAAGCTTTTGTGAGGTGGGTGGAACACTGCAACAGTGAACACTGAAACTTGATTGTGCTCACCTTGGATTACTCATACATGATTAAAGTGCCACAACAATCAATGATTCTTTTTGCATTCTATTATAAGATACGTTTAGTAGTGCACAGTAATGAAGTACTGCTTGTAGTTTTACTTTATTTCGTAGAATTATACAGCACAGAAGGAGGCCATTCGGCCCATTGTGTCTGTGCCGGCTCTTTGAAAAGAGCTATCCAAATCAATCCCATTCCCCTGCTCTCTCCCCATAGCCCTGCAAACTTGCCCTCCCCAAATAATTATCTATTTGAACTAATTTAAGTAGGTCGATTCCCAAACTACTATTTTCCTATTTCTGGAAAATAATATTAGGAAGAGGTGGCCTCGGTTTGAAATCTAAGTTACTTGAGGCACTAGACACTAAATGATATCTGTTTGATGTTAAGATAGCTTAAAAGCATTTCCTTAGACTCTTGAGGCTGGTAGAATAAACTGCACCCAAAGTACTTAAAGAGTGATGCTGGTGTTGTTGCTTGATAAAGGCTAAAACCCAAATAGCTTTAACTTAAAACTACCTCCTCTTTTAAACTCGTGTGATTCAAATTCCCTACTGTCTGGCTGAAGTACTGATTCCCCCCCCACTAACTTGGGATCTGACAAATACAAATCGTTACAAAAAAGTGTAAGGTTAGATGGGGAGAGTGGTGGTGGCAATCATGTTTTTTTCTTTGATGTTCCCAATTTTCATGGGGCTGCTAATATTAGTAACAGTACCAACAACAAATTACATTTGTATAGCGCCTTTCACTTCAGGAGGACGTCCCAAAGCGCTAGACAGTCAGGGATCCGCACCCGAGCTGGTGGTTGGGATCAGGAGGGGGCGGGGTGGGTAGGGGTGGGAGGGTGACCGAAGGCACGGTTGAAGAGGAGGGTCTTGAGACAGGTCTCAAAGGAGGCAAGGGAGGAGAGGGCGAGGCAGAGGGATTGTGGGATGGAGTAATAATGCTTGTATAGAACAAAACAGTACTGTAGTATCATATTACTTAAGATTTATGGTAGCACCTGAAGCTTGAACCCAAGGGGTTCATTAAAAGTTGCCTGTCCCCGAAGATATTTAATATTTGGACACATATGTCAAGTTTCTAATCTGCCCATTCTCATAAAGGAAATGAGTGGGGAATAAAGTCACATAAGAACTTTGATCAATACCAGTGTTAGTATACAAAGAACAAGGTTAATATTGTTCAATATAAGTAGCATAGAGTTATCTTTACTGTAGGACAAGAAATACATTTCCATTGTTAAAGAAAGTTAGTTTTAAATGAAATAATTATGCAGAAGCCTGTTCCATGACTATGTTCATCTGAAATATTCAAGTTCATGGTTATTAACTAGTATGAGAAATTTAAAAGATTAAAATCCCCCATTTGGTTTCTAACTGCATTCTTAAAAGATGAAATTTAAATATCTTATTGACAAGCACTGGTTTCAACTTAGTAAGTTAGTCATCAATTGAAGGGTTTTAAAAGAAAATTTAAATATTGGGATTTAAATATTGGAACTTAAATAGTAAATCTTACAATAAATTCTGTGAAGTTCTTTGCAATGTCCTTCTGACATGAAAGGCGCTATATTAAACGCAAGGATTATTATTTAATTAAATCTAGAACCATCTAGACCCAGTTGGAAGTTCTCCCCATCTGACACTCATTCATTTATATACATATCGATTTTTTAACTAAATCAACCCCTCCTCTCCACATTAATTGAATAACCACTTGAGGTTACTGCTAAGGGTAGACTCATACATGAAAATTGGTCACTTAAATGAGATAATGAAGGCTGCCGTGATGAGTCACCACCTTCAGACAGGAAAGGTATGAAAAAGGGTCTATGCTATTCCAGGTGCAGCTTTATCTATGAACTTAATTTATGATCTAACAATTAAAGTGAATTATCCAATTGAGGTCACGGTTTCCAGAGACTTTTTGGAAGATGTAATCAGCCTATCTCTATGGTACTAGAACTGTCACTCTACATAACCCACAAAACGAATATATTCTGCCCATATTGTAACCATGACTTGCATTATTTAAAATCCACGTTTTAAATCTGCTTATCATACAGCCAGTCACGGTTGGTTTTAGCATAGAAACATTGAAATTGGCCTATGGTGGATACCAATCCATTTGTACATATTGACTAACAAATATTTTGCAATACATGTTCAATAATTAAGTCCAAATGGATAATCCAATGTGAAACCGAATTCTTTAAGCTATCGCACAATTTCTCTCTTTGGATGGGAACTGGAAGGAGAAGTTGACCTTTAATAAATGACTTATATGGAAGGAAATTCCAGAGAAAATTTCTGATCAAAGCAATCCAGCTCCTTCATCTCAGAATACCCCAGTGATTAATATATTCAGCAGTTTTATTTCAAGACTCCTTTCCTGTTTTGATTTATGTCAATGCAGCCAAGCTGATCCAAACCCAGGAAAATGCAGCACTTGAGGAAATATAATGCTATGCTTTTCTAGTTGGTAGCTACAAATAAATGAGACAAATTACCACTTTTTCTCCATATGACAGCTGTTTTGGAATCAGCAAAGTAAATCGGCTTCTTGCTGCCCCCAACAGCACCTCCCATCACTTGATCTGGCTGCAGGAAGGCTGAACACTCAACCTAGTCACACAGGCAACAAAGTTGTCTTCAGCACTGCTGACCAGAAAAATGTGAGAATTCAACTTTTAGTGTGCAAGGTTAAGTATATGCTGTTTCTTCGTTGCCTCACTTTTGTAGAATCGTGTAGCCTGGTGAATGTCAGCTTAGGTGCCTTGCAGTGATCTTTTAATTGAACTTGCACTGGAAAACATTATTTGCCCAGTGTGACTCCCATCCAGTCTGCATACAATGTGTGAAAAGTCACACCGGAATGTTTGGACTGAGGCATATGAGAAGTCAACACAGAAAGAAAAGCTAAGAGCAACAGGTGTTAGTATGGCTTGTTTGAATCTCTGTGCAGATCTGGCACTCGATAAATTAGCATCCAAGTGTTTAGAGCAATGTGTTAAAACCTCAGGATAAATATGGGGAGAAGGTGATATAGAAAGTTTATTCTGTGCCAAGTTTGACAAAAACCAAAAGTCCTTATTTACTGTACCAAATAATTACAGAAAAAAAATCTAACTTTAAACTCTAGTGTTTATGGCTAGAATGCAATTATCCTTTACAGGCATATCATAAATGAAACTTTAAAATGGCCATTTAAAATTTGCTTAGCAACAGGGTCAATGAAGAGCTGCAGTACACGATATTATTAATGGTAAAAATATAATGTCAAAAAAAGATTAGGACTGCTCGTAGAATGAAGGCTGCTTTAAAATAGAATGAGGGAAAATAACAGACATACACAAAGCTACATGGCTGCACTTTGATTCACAATGCTCAGATTTCTGCTAAAACTGCTAGATCACTAATCTGACTGGAATCATCACTCCACCAAACTGCAAAATGATATTCTACAAAGTAAAGCGTTAACAGAAGCTTAGAGTATTAAGTAAAGAACCATATGCATTGAACAAAACAGATGCACAAACTGTTTCTACTCTACAGATTCTTCAGTGTCAATTAACAATATGCAAGATTTTGCATTGACACAGCTTTGTCTTTGGTCATTTAAGTTACTACAGCATCAAGCTGTAATTACTTCTTTAATTTTGTGTAAATTTCAAACAAGCCACAAGCCCAGAAGACATACTTGGATTAAGACACAAATCCAACACAATACAAATTTCCATTCATCTTTCACTTCAGGTGGACATCAAATACATTATGAGTCCTTTGAAACATCCTTCCGACATGAAAGGTGCTAAATGTGTAATAGTTTGTACTGTATGAACTATCTAATGGTCAAGCTGTTGGGTTGACCAATCTGTGTGTGCTCCAAGATGCCACCCCTAGCAATGAATGATCAGAAGGGAGTTGTTAGTTTGTGGTAGTCTCAGCATCCCAGTAAAACAACCAGCTTGTATAGCACGTTTTATATAGGATTTCTGAGCTCAACAGAGTGGGGTTGTTGTTTGGGTTGGAATCCAAGGTAGGAAGATGTATATCTGCCATTACTTGGCAGGTTAGCACCACTCCAGGACACTGCTCACAATAAACCATCCAACCTGGCTCATTGGAGGATGAGCTCATTAGTCACAGAGGACTGGAATTCTTCCCACTCAACTCCTGATAATCTCGTAAACCAAATTGGTCCCTGCTAGACAAGTAAGGACCAGTACTCTTCAATGGTTAGCTGCATGGTTTTAGATGGTAAAACTTCAGCAGTACCTCAATGCATATTCCAGGATCCTCAAGCCTTAGCTCTTGCCAACATGCACTTAAATTTTCCATATGTGGGAAACTATACACTCCATACCACACAAGCAGGCTTTAAACATATCCAGAACTCTCATATTTAGAACTCCTCTGGTTCTACTATTCTGGACATGTTGAAACAGCCTGTCACAATCTATATTGTCTTGCCCCTTTAGAATCTTAAAGTCAGCAATCATGTCACCTCTAAGTCTTCTCTTTTCCAGCGTGAACATGCCCAATTTACTTAGTCGCTTCTCATAGTCCATTCCTTCCATTCCCTCAATCATTCTGTATCTTCTCAATTTCTCCAAAATCCTTTTTGTACTGCGGTAACCAGAACTGTACACAGTACTCTAAGTATGGTTTCACCAATGATTTATACAGTGGCAGGATTACTCCACTATTTCGGCTTGCTATAATAATCCTTGCATTTGATATAGTGCCTTATCACATCTTCGAGAAGTCTCAAAAAGCTTCACAGAATATACTATAAAGTGATTTGACTGTATATTTTGTGGGCGAAATGGGTTTCCGTGTGTAACAGATAAACAGCAAGCCATTTAAATATTGAAGTGACCCTTACCGAGTTCTCTGGAGACTGGAGACTGGCCAGTCAGGTCTCCTAATTTTGCAACGGCATCAAAGTATGTCTTTCCTGAAGTCACCATAGCTATGAAAAAAAAATACATTTGTAAAATTGCAATTATTCTGTAGAGAAAACTTTTTAAAAAATTAACAAAAAGGGAAGGAGAAATTGAAAAAAAATGGTACGGGGAAAAAATTGAAGAGTAAACAAGGGAATTTAAATATGAACAGTAAACATGACAGTTCTATTCTTTTCATAAAATATTGCACATCTTCATTGCTGTTCGTAACAATTTTTTTATACTGCAAAACTTATCTTCTACCTCACCTGAAGTGCTGAGAACGTGGGCAGACTAATCAAACAATCTTTAAATATGATATAGCACCTCTAAAGTAAAAATGTTTTGATACTCTGCAGGAATTGCCGTCAAGTATAGTGATTGCATTTGTAGTTAATTTGTACACCACATGGTCCTATAAAGTTATAGTGAATGACCAATTTATCTGGAGGATTGTTAGCTAGGACAGCAGGAGAAACTTCTTTTTGAATAGTGTCATGGAATCTTTTGACAGCCACCTGAATAGGTAGACAAGACCTGGGTTTTACATTTCAATCAAGGGATAGCATCTCTGACAATGGAATGCTCTCCCAGTATTGCAGTAAACTACTAATATAGACCGTGAGCTCACTCCTTGACATGAAGCTGGAAAATAATCCTCTGACCTAGAGTGAAGACTTGTTTTATTATGCCACTCAAGAAATACGAGATGGTGACTATCTACTAATGTTTTATAATGGAATGTTCTATTATAGAATAGGAACCCCAAAAAACAAATAAAACACAAACTGGCATATTTATTACTGCAAGAGTACAAGACACTTCAGTGCTTAATCCCAGAGTCACTAAATGTCACTATGAAAGAAAGAGCGAGAGAAAAAACATTGAACAACATTCTATAATTAATATTTACTAATTGAATTTTAATAGATTTTTTTCAGTGGAGAATTAAAGATATAATTCAATCTCCTATTAGTACTGCACAATTTTTTGCTTTATCATATTTTAACCTTGAAGAACAGGCTGGATCAACCACACAGTCAATCTTCAGTTGAGACAATATTGTGTGGGTAGAATAAAGCGCACCAATTGATAAGGGAAGAGAAGGAAAGGATTTTCCTGTATATACTGAGAGCATCCAGTTATGTAAAGCTGTGAAGAAAGCTGATGAAATAATATTCATAACAAAAGTCTGGATTGATTGCTAAGATATTTGACTGCAATTCAAAAAGTTGATGTTGATACAGATTACTGCTGGGGAACAGGGTTCAAAATGAATAAACCACAAATTAAATGAGGGATCAAATAAACTTCAATTAGAACAAACTTTCTTTCCTCCATCCAATTTAGTGCATACACTTAGTGAAATAGACTCCCAGAAAAAGTAGCTGAGGTGGAGTTGATTATCTCATTTAAAAGAGCTGAATACATATCTAACTGAGAACAGGATAGAGAATACAGAATAGGGGTAACAGAAATAATCAAATGCATGATAGGACAAAATAGGTAGCTTTATGATGCAGGGCCTTATCTGAAAATCACAACAGGTTTGATTTGAATAGTGGAGATGCTTTTGGGAATCAGCGAGTACACTACACTTCTATAAACCTTACTTTCCAGCGCCTTGGGACATCCTTCTGACCCGAAAAGCGTTATACAAATGTAATTTTGTTGTTGTTGTTCTCAAGAACTTCTCATATCTCAATACCTCAATTGAGCCTGTATCCATGACCACCTGGGGCAGTGCATGCCACAATTGTGTGGATTTTTTTTCTTTCAGATTCACTATTAATTGGTCAAGTTCTAATTTTATCACCCTTGTCCTGGATTCTCCAACTAGTGTAAAGTCTCCCACGGTGTTGGGTGTTAAAATTTTCCAAAACACAACCAATCAAGCCCAAGCCAATAGTAATAATAGGATTAACATTAATCAGTTACATTAATAGGACTCAACTAAACCTGATTTAAAGGATTAAAGGAAAGTTACATATTAGAGAATTCACAGGGATCAAAAAAATTGGGATACAGAACATGCTATTGATAATGAAAATAAAAAATAATGGGAAGGAGTCAGTAAAAATATAACAAGGGATTTTGGACTTGAAAAGGTGCAAATTGCAGAAAATGCTGAACATGTCTTTGCCAATTTCAAAATAAGATAAAAAGGATAAACAATGCTCGTCTTTGATACAGCACCTTTTTTGTTGGGAACATTTTACAGAATTTACTGAGCACAGCAGTGTCCCACAGACAATCATGGATTGAGTGACCAAATTTTTTTTTTTTTTTAAGGGATTATTACCCCCAGAAAAGCAATATGCTAACTGACTAATAACTGTGTTCCTACTTATAAAATGGCAGCCACAAATCAAGACAGTGAAATGCTTTAAAATGTGCCCCCTCCCCATGAAGTATTTGGAAATTGACAGTGTATTTTGTAGGTGAACACATTGTGATAACCTAATTCTGTGTATAGAACAAGCTAAAAACAATTGCTCATCAAAACACTTTCAGACTGACTTGTATAGCTTGGACATTGTCAATTGTAATAATAATCCTTGCATTTGATGTAGTGCATCGAGACATCTCAAAGACTTTCATGGAATTTTACTGTGAAGTGGTGATTGTATTATTTGTAGGCAAATAACACAAGGTTTAACCATTTCTCCTAAATATTGCACTGGTAGGGAATGTTTTTAAATTGTATTTTATTCCTTTGACTGTCTATAAATGGCAGCTGTTTATTGGGGGAATCTTACTCAAAATTAGTGAGATTTTTAACCATCCCTGGTTAAACTTAAGAACTAAACCTAGTAAATGGCAGACACTAATCTAGTACCAGTAAATAACAGTAAAGTTCTGTATAGTCCGAAAGCACAAAATCTAGTTCAAGTCATGGGAGAATAAGATCATTTTTGTTCATCTTCAGATTCTTCTTGAACATGAAACCAATCCTTTTAATATAAATATTTAGAACAAGATTCCTCCAATAAATACCCAATATTTAAAGATTGTCAAAATAATACAATTAAAAACATTTTCTAATAATATTTGGGAGAAAGGGTAAAACCCCTTGACATGTTTTTCATAATTATAACAATGCTACGAATCAGACGTAAATGAGCATTAGGTTACCTGTCTATCCTCAGTTCAGTTATTAGTGCAATGTGGACACAAAGAGAATTGCAATCCCCCTCTCTCCCAGTCTATGATTGTTTTCTAAAAAATGCACCACGATTTTAAACTAACATAAGGTACATACTTCTGAGACAATGAGAGGTTTTATTCTTAGTTCTAAATGTGGAAGTGCAAAAGAGCCTAAGTGGGTTTATCTGAGTTAAATACATTTTGATTCACCCCAAACAGCAGAAGATACAAAAAACGGGAGGGGGTGGGAAGATACATTTGCTCTTGATAATAATCCTTGCATTTGATATAGCACTTTTCACATCTTCTAGACGTCTCAAAGCATTTGTGGGCGAAACTCAGCAGCCAAGGGCGCACAGCAATGTCCCACAAACAGTCGTGGATTGAGTGACCAAATTATTATTGTTTTTTTTCTTGAGATTATTATCAGGCGTGTGGAGTAAAGAAACTTTCGTCCTGCCGGGAATCAAACCCAGGTGTCTCGCTTGCGAGATGAGTGCTCTAACCACTGAGCTGCAGGACTCCATATCTAACACCTTTTCTTGGATGGCTTTACCCATATTAGTACATTAGTATATTTTACTCATCTAAATAACATACTAAAAATGGTGAAATAGAACCTATACATTCACAATAACATTTACTGACAAAAATGAAACCCATTATGTACAAAATTACTGCAATGCGCTTTCCAGAATTTATGTTCAATCATTAGGTTACTTTTTCTTGAAGCATCATTTCCAGAATTTCAGTTGAAATTTTAAAAACCTCAGAAGATCCAAAAATGCATTTCTGTTTGTCGTTGGTTTCATGTGACATGCAATAGCATATTAGATTTAAATTCTTCGATCACACAAATCAAAAAAAAAGACAGCATTGTAAGTAAAAGCCAGTGGTAAATAGTAAAAGCCAGTGGTAAATAGTTGCAAAGCAAAAGCCACATTCACCCAATATTTTCCACTAAGACTTATGTGAACATCAGTCCCATTAAGGAGCTTCAAGGAGTTTCTTACTGTAATCAACTCAGCAGGATATGATCAGTCTTCTAAGTGGTACAGCAGGTTTCACATTATTATCAAACAATTGGGTACAATCTTACAACTCAAAAAATGACAGTTTACAAAGCCTTCAAAACACATTTCAACAGATTAATAGCAGCACCATTTAAAATGTTTATATAATCAGGTGAACTGGCTTCCATTACATTAGAAATCACAAAGGGAGAGGGAAACACTAAACAAAAGTTGACAGAGATTCCTTCCTTGATGGAAATGTAATGCCACGTTTCAATTGTTAATGCCTTTATGCTAAGTTTTACTTAGATATGGAAGGGAAACAAATATGTCAGGAAACATTGAATGAAACACTGGCGACAGAACCTCGTCATTGCATCATAAATGGAGGACTGCCCACAAATAATGCAAGGCACACGGATTTGGGAACAGTTCCAGACAGTGGGGGTAAAGTGGTTGAAGGTCACCTTACTAATGGTGGTGGTGGTTTGGGGGGGGGGGGGGGAAGAGAGAAAGTGAAGACATAAATGAGGCCTAATTAGGAAGTTGGTCAGGGGACAGGACATTACAGTGTGGCTAGGGTGTGGAAGAAGTAATGAGCATCTTTTATTTGCTCCTCTGGAGATTAGGAAGCCTGTGGAGCCTTGTGAAGATTGCAGGTGATGGGCTAGCACTGAACCTGGGCGGAAGAGAATGTACGCTGTGGAGTTTTAGATGATCTGGAGCCGGTGGAGTGATAACAACAACAACAAAATTACATTTGTATAGCGCCTTTCACATCGGGAGGACGTCCCAAGGCGCTGGACAGTGTACAGTATTTCAGACCTGTGGAGGATGACCAGCAGGGTGTTGAAGTCAAGTATGGG